AGCTGCCCTTTTCCAGTAACCCATCCCAGGCTGTCAATCACCCTATGTGTAAATAAATATTTCCTGGTGTCTGTCTTCAATTTGCCCTTCACAACACCAATTCTGAAACACTGAGGGAGAGAGAGAGAGAACAAGGGTCTCACTCATTCTCTCACTCCCTCCCGCCCTCCCAAAAATGCATTGCATCTCTCTTTCTCCGCTTGGTGCTTGTGTGTGACGATTCATGTGAGATGGCAGTTCCTGACCGGGAGAAGAAGAATGGGAGCAGAAACTGGATTGGTTACTGCCCACAGTCCTGTATCTCTCCAGCGCCGCTCAAGGAAATTCGCAACTTTAATCCGAAGCACCCTTAGCTCAGTGGTTAGAGCACTTGCCTCGCAAGCGAGAGACCTAGGTTCGATTCCCGGCAGGGCAAGTTTTCTTACACCACAAGCCTCTGTTTACCTAGCAGTAAGTTGTTAGTCGATTGGCAGATCGCTTTTCCGGGGGTAATAACTCCTTAAAAAACAAAATTGGTCACTCTATCCATGGCTGTGTGTGGGACACTGCTGTATGCAATTGGCTGCCACGTTCTGCCCACAAAATATACAGTCAATTCACAGTATATTCTGTGAAGCACTTTGAGATGTCTCAAAGGCGCTATATCAAATGCAAGGATTATTATTATTATCTTGTTATCTTTCCAGATCTCGTCCCAGCGCAACGCTATCTCACTCCAGCCATGTGACGAATAAGAAGGGAAAAAGTAAATAAATACTCCTTTCAAAGCCTCAAACAAAAGTGAAGGGCACGTCTTTGTTTTAATACAGCNAAAAAAATTTATTGAAAAGATTACAAAATACATGTTTCTGAATCAATGGCAACTGGCTGAAACAGAATACATTTCATAGCAGCATATATATATATACACTGTAAAGTACAATGTCTCAGTGCGGCATTGTAGAAAGTTGACAGGGTGCTCAGTATTCTCGTCGCAAGCTTTTTAAAGGTCCGCTCTGAAAAGGTTAAAGAATCACAACAGAAAGGAATTCCTTTCTGATCTGAAGAACTTATTTCGATGCCTCTTTAAACTGGAGATCAATCTGTGCTTTTTTTTTATATACATTTGTGACATAAAACAAGGGAATTGTACCAGGCGAGTTGACTATACTGTATAATCACAGTAATACACAGAAAACCACAGAACATTCTCAGAACACACCATAAATATAAATACTCTCCTTTTTTTAATTTTTTTATACAGAAACACTACTTGGTCATTCCCCCCATTTAATGAGCTGCCCGTTCTGGTGTGAATGATACATCTGCAACAAAGTTAAACAATAAGATGTAAATCCTAGCAGAATCCAAAGTGGACTTTAAAGTCACGGCGCACGTAAAATTTGAAACGGTTTTGTCTCCAGCCTTGATGCTGTGATAGTGTTAGTGATAGTGGGTCAGTCTTTTAACAGGCACCTTTTTTTTCCTTTCTGTCACCCTATTGACGTTTGGGTTGTTGTCCCTGTCTTGGCCCCCATTCCCCTCTCTTCATTTATCTTTAAATCTCATCATTAGACTTAGCTCTTCCACCGCACCTACGGTCACTTTTCCCTCCCCTTCTCCCTCTCTGGGTGTCCAACCCCTCCCACACTGTGCGGTGCTCCAAGATGCTATACTGCGCGAAAGGCTCTACATAAGTGCAAGTTGCTGTTGTTTTTGTGTGCGTGGGGGGTGGGGGAGGGTTTTCGTCTGTCCAGATTTATTGTGCAACCAGGATTCTACCACATCTACCCTTGCCAAAGTGAATTTTGTTCCCTTTCTAAGGGAGGGCAGTGCCTGACAAGTGTAGTGGCATAGTTTTGCTGGATGTGCTGAGGCATTGTGCAACCTAACTGCACAGCCCAGGTTAGTGCTCAGTATTCTCCATGCACCGAGTCGCCTGAAGTCCAGCTACTTTCTCTATGATGAGGAAGGGAAAGGAAATACGACTGTATGTGAGATACAGCTGTGCGCATTTGGCTGCTGCGTTTCGCCCACAAAATACACAGCCACTACACTTTACAGTGTATTCGGTGAAGCGCTTTGAGACGTCTCGACGACGTGATGAAGCGCTCTGTCAAATGTAAGGATTATTATTATGGCAGGTAAGTTGTTAACCCAGGCCTCCTCTCACCCTTTCCCCTTCTCTCTCTCTCTCTCTCTGTGTTTCGCGCACACCTTTCCCAGCTGCCTGGTCGCAGAAATAGCATTGAACAGAAGCAGCCTGGGGACGGTGAATAGTGCGGGGCGGAAACTCGAGAGAGAGTAGGAAACAACTTAAAACAAAACAGGGAGCAAGTTTAAAAACAAATCAAATTAAAAATAAATACTCTCCGAGAATACACGTGAGATTTTCGCTCTATCACTTAAAAATAAGATGGAGCTTCATCAACCGGGACCACTTTTAAAAAATGGACCAGTTATAAAAGGATTCAGATTCACTTTGAATTTTTTTTCCTCCTCTCTGTCGTTTCTATTTGTTGGTTGTTTTATTTGCTTGCTGATATCATTGGGGGAATGGCTTTGGGGAGATACTGGGCTTTGTGGTCTCAGGCAAATGAATTAACAAATATCTACACACCAGACGCACACCCAACAAACACACACCCAACAACCACAAACGCACAACACCACACACACCAAACACACACCAAACACGCGCACACACCAAACACACGCAAACACCAAACATACCCACACACCAAACACACGCATACACCAAACATGCACCCGACAAACACACGCAACCGACAAACACACGCAAACAGGAATCACACACACACATCAAACACATGCACTCGACAAACGCACGCACACAACAAACATGCACATCCCAAACACGCACACCCAACAACAACAACAAGATTCCATTTATAGAGCGCCTTTCACGTCAGGAGGACGTCCCAAGGCGCTGTACAGTTGGGTCAGGACCCGAGCAAGGGGGAAATGGTCAGGGTGAGGGGAGGGAAGGGAGGGAGCGAGGAGGGGGTAGAGAGTCGAGAGGGGAGCTGAAGGCACAGTCAAAGAGAAAGGTCTTGAGACCGGCCTTGAAGGAGGAAAGGGAGGAGGCGGCGAAGGCACTGGGGGATGGAGTTCCAGAGCTTAGGGGCTGAGAGGCCAAAGGCCCGGCCACCGATGGTAGGGCGGTTGGGGCCGGGGATGTGGAGCAGACCGGAGCCAGAGGAACGGAGGGTACGGGCAGGTAAGTAGGGGGATAGTAGGTCGGAGAGGTAGGAGGGACAAGGCCATGAATGGCCTTGTAGATGAGAATGAGGATCTTGAATTGAACAAACATGCATACCCAACAAACACACGCGCACCACAAACACACACACCCAACAAGCGCACACATATGCATACACATACCCACACATAAGCATTCACACTCAAACAAATGCACAATTGGACACATAGACACATATACACCGACCCTCAGGTTTAACTGAAGCACCCAGGGTAATTGGTGCTGTGAATTGATGGTAATTGAGCTCCCGACTATGTTACAACAGGGAAATGCTTCAAGCCACTCGCCCCGGTGATACCGCCACGACTTGACTGCTTCACGAATTATAGGACCAGACGGAAAAAAACAACCAAACAAACAGGTGTTGGGATCAATCCATGTCCTGGGTGACTCATTTTGCAAAGTGTTTCCTGACGGCGAGAGACTCACTCCTCAACAATTCTCTGAACATCAGTTTATAGGCTTTTTTTCAAAAAAAAATATTCTGGCACATGTCATCACAAACACCAAAAAAAGCACCTTTGTTTGGGGAGGGAGGGGGGACGGGGGGGGGGGGGTGGGTGAAGAGGCAAAGTGACCCATTGTTGTCCTAAAGAGACCAATTAAAAAGAGTGGAAAGTGGAGTGTCAGGAATTGCTGACTTGCAAGCCAAAAAACGCCTTGATAGTAGTAGTAAAAAAAACTGCTTGGCAGTATCCAACAACATGGCGGACTCAGAGCCCGGCCCAATCATTTCAACAACATTTGTTTTTAAAACAGCTCGAACAACGAGATTGTCCTTTAGCGTATAGGCTGTTCTAAGCAGTTATCACAAGTGTGCTAACCTCCCTCCCCACATCCCCCATCGCCCGCCCACACACCTCCCACCAGAATAGCAATGCCCCCCTCCACCACCCCCACCCCCACCCCACCCCCCCGTCCCTTCCCTTTATCGTGCGGGGGAACCTTTTATTTTTTTCAGATGTTTGACTCTGAATCTGGAACTTTATCTGTGGGCGATCTTTTAAAAAAAAGGCATTGTCTCGTTTACGTGGAATGTCTTAATCTGTGATCTCATACTCAGGTTCAATTAACCCTTTAACCACAAAATTGCTGTCAGATGCTGTCACACGTCTAAAGTTATCAGAGAGGTTCCTTATGGGTAAGCTGCTTCGTTTTGTTCCAGCCATTCCCGCGCACTCATTCCCTCACTCGTCTCAGAAAGGGCTTCAAATTCCCTCAGGTATCCTATCAAATCGATAAAACCCCTATAAAATTCCTATAGGATCCTTTTAGATTTGTTTTTATCCCCTCCCTCCTCCTCCTTCACCAAATTTTTCTTCCCTTTTCTAGCTTGAGTGGGATTTGACCACTGGTGTCAGGAACCCTTCAGTTCCCCAGCCCCTTTCTTCACTTGGAACCCCCCCCCCAACTCCCTCCCCCCCACCCCCCCGCGCCAACCGCCAGCACTGATCCGGGATAGGCCATGGGGCTCCCCGTCTGACATCCGTTCACCTACAAAATACACAGTCGCTACACTTTACAGGAAATGCGGTGAAGCACTTTGATACGTCCTCCCAACGTGAAAGGCGCCGTATCAAATGCAAAGGATTATTTTATTTTTATCCGCACGCCCACACTTGCTCGCCCGCAGTTTTACTGAACGGTGATCACGAGCAGGGAAAACCTGGCGGCTTTTTTTTTCCTCCTCTCCTTTCCTCCGAACCCCAGGAAACGTCTTTTTTTTGGGGGGGGAGGAGGTGTGGGGAGGAGTATTTCAATAGGGTTTCTAACTACTGACTAATAAGAGACTTCTTGTTGCATTGCACAGCTCAAAGCGATACATATGAAAATTCAATAGAAATAAAAAACAGTGCGTCGCACAGTGGCGTTCTGTGGGTAAACGTGTCTTACACAGAGCTCCTTTATATCAAATATTTAAACGTTTAACTTATGAATCTTCTATTTGTCAAGCACTAATGTTTGTTTTTTTGTTTCGTTTTTAAATCCAAAAAAATTACTTTACATTGTTTCCCCTCGTAGGTGGTCAGGTCCACGTAGTCTCCTTGAGCTGGAACTTGATCCATTTGTGGGGTGGGGAGGGGGGTGGGGGAGTACGTTCTCACCTCGTTGAGGGAGGGGGGAGCGTTTCAGGCAACTTGTGTCCGTTTTTGAAACTTCCGCCACCCTGCCCCTCCTCTCCTCTTCCACCTCCCTCGCCATCTGTCCATCTGTCCGTCTGTCTGTCCGTCCATCCTCGTATCACTGTGGCTGTAATTGAGACTGATAATAGCCGTAATACCTCACCTAGAATAAGGATGAGATTTGGCGAATTAATAGAGAAACACGAATATAAAGTGCTATAGAAATAATAATCCCTGCATTTGATATAGCGCCTTATTGCGACGTCTCAAATTCCTTCACAGAATATTTCATAAAGTAGATTGAATGTGGATTTTGTGGGCGAAACACAGCAGTCAATTGCACAGAGCAGTGTCCCACAAATAGTCGTGGATTGAATGACCAATGTTTTTTGGAGGGATTATTATCCCCGGAAAAGCAATCAGCCAATCTACTCACATCCGGGTTTCTACTTACTGCTAGGTAAACAGAGGCGTGTGGAGTAAGGAAACTTGCCTAAGGTTTCGCACCGCCCAGGAATCGAACCCGGGTCCTCTCGCTTGCGAGGCGAACACGCTAACCACTACACTACCGGATTCCACAGTCTGAATAACCGAGAAAAGTAAAGTTAAAAGTCAAGAAAGAACAAAAAGGAAAGTGGAGGTCGGGGGGGGGAGGAACGGCGGGAGGCGGCAAACGTGGGTGAGGAGAAAGTGGGGCGAAAGTGGAGGGAGAGAGCGGAGAAAAGGAGAAATGAATGAGCAATCTTTTTTTAAAAAAAATCCACTGGCACCAAGAGCCCAGCCATTCATCACAGACGTAAACAGGCATGACACAGACAAACCTGGGGCTTTTACGACATCCTTAGCTTAGCAACGGGGAGTAACCTGTCAACTAATAGCAAGTGGCCTGACTGTGGCCTGGCACCACTCCAGTGTGTTCTGGCCTTCAGGGCGAGGTGCTTTGTTCCTGCAAAGTGTTTCTGTTCCTCTCCACTCCCCTCCCTTTTCTGCAGCGCCTCACCTGCCATGCGGCATCAACTCACCGTTGTGGTTTGGGTTCGGTGGCTAACGCCACCGGGGGCTCAGAATCCAACAAGCGAAATCAACAACAACAACATGCATTTAGATGGCGCCCTTCACGCAGGGCAGCGTCTCGCAGTGTTCAAAGCGCGAGGTTTAGTTTGAGTGCCCCTTCCGCATCTGCACCGATGCTTGCAGAAAGTTTCCTCCCCCTCCTCCCTCTTCTCTGCTTCCCCCTCTCTCCTCTCCCCAAAGTGTTCCTGCTCTGATCCCAGGACGAGCCACCATTCCTAGCAACCGGCGGGGTCTTTGCAAGATAGACTGACCCCACACCGGCACCTTCTGAGGCAGGATTCCTGAACAACAACAACAAAAAAAAATTACAATTGTGTAGTACCTTTCACGTCGGGAGGACGTCACAAGGTGTTGGACAGTCAGAATTTCGGACCCGAGCTGGGGGTCGGGATCGGGAAGGGTGGAGGGCAGGGGGGAAGCAGGGAGTTCAAAAGCACGGTCGAAGAGGAGGGTCTTGAGATGGGTCTTGAAGATGGCGAGGGAAGGGGCGAGGGAGGCGGAGGGACTGCGGGTTGGAGTTCCAGAGGGTGGGGGTAGAATGCCCACCCGCCAATAGTGGAGCGAGCGAGGCGGTGGATGTGAAGCAGGCCTTAAGATTAACAACAACTTGCATTTATACAATGCCCATCATGCAGGATAACGTCCCAGTATGCTTGACTGTGGCATGTCATGATGGAGTCGGGGGGAGGTGACTGTAGGCACAATCAAAGAGGAAGGTCTTCAGGCGTGACTTGAAGATGGGGAGGGAAGAAGAAAGGAGGAGGGACAGAGGAAGAGAGTTCCAGAGTTTCAGGCGGTAGTGGCTGAAAGTGTGGCCAACGATGGTTGAACGGAGGGCACGAGGGACAAGATTACATAGAACCCAAAGCACGGAAAGAGGTCATTCCGGTAAACTGCTGGCATTTATCTCATCTCAATCCTCCCCCTCCTTCCGCCTAACAGCCCTCTATTCCCTCCTCCCTGTGTTTGCATTGTTTTAAATTGTCAGGTCTCAAACGGATCATGCTATTCGCTGGCTTCCAAATTAAGCTTGAAATGAGCAACGTTCCAGGATTCTGCGTGTCCCTGAGTTTGTCAGACCGTGGTCTGAAGGCTCACAGTCTGAGGATCGTTGGGTTAGGCAGTGTCCTCAGAGATTTAATCATTTACATGAGCTAATTTCTGGCTCTCTTTGTTCTATACCTGCTTTCACTTACGTAAAATCATTTTGTGCTTTTGTCCCATTCAAATAAGTGGAAACAATCCTCCAATTCAAACAAAGCATGTTACAGGCTATCACTCATTCCATTTCAAACCCAAACTCCACCGCAATCACACACATGTGGTCTGTAACGGGCTTGTTGAAAGTAAAGATGTTTAGTTTGGTCTTTAACTGAACTATTTTTAGTTTAGATGTTTTCTTCAACTTAATCGCAAGAGACGGCCCAGACTACTTTTTTTCCCAGGCAAAACTCTGACTGAAAAATCAAGAAAAGTGTGTCACTCTCAACGTTGTGTCAGGAGGTTGTGAGCTCCACATTGGGACTTTGAGCGCGTAGTCTAAGCTGACTTCTAAGTCTAATCTAACAAATTCTTGTGCTGGGGGAGTGCTGTCCTTGGGTTGAAAAGGCACTATTCGAAAAGAGAAGGGAGTTTCTTCCGGTGGCATGGTCAACATCCCCCCAAATAAAAAAATTGGTCACTCATTTCATATCTGTTTGTGGGATATTGTGCTGCCACTTTTGTCTACAAACACTGTTCCATTTCACAGTAAACCCTGTCCCGTCTGTGCCTGTTCAGGTGGAGGTTAAATGGCACTGATTGAATAGTGGAGGGTGTTTCCTCCCCGTGTCCAGGCCAACTGGCTGAACGGACAAGATGGACAGTAATGGCTCAATATGCCATGGCGATGACATCAAATAATTCCTCCAAAACAATAATAAATTGGTCATTTTCAATCCAAGACTGTTTGTGGGACATTGCTGTGCGCTATTGGCTGCTGCGTTTCGCCCACAAATATACTATCAATTCACTTTACAGTCTATTCTGTGAAGCGCTTTGAGACGTCGAGAAGACGTGAAAAAGCGCGATGTCAAATGCAAGGATTATTATTATTTATTATTATCAAACAAAGGTCACCTGATCAGCTAGCTTCAGCTCTTCATCGTCAATGGGTCACTGTGGTTTCAAATGGTTTTGCAATAGTTTTTCATACTGCTCCACCCACCCACCCCCAGCTCTTTCCTGAATTGAGCACTCTACCTTCAGATCTGTTGCATACTTATTTACTTGGCCAACGTCTTTATAGCAGGAAGAAACATCATTTTATCAATAATGGGGGGGTAGCCCTAAGAGCCAGTTGAAGAGATAGATTTAAAGACAGGATTTTACAATTCCCCTGTGAAGTGTTTTAAGACATTGTAACGTGAAACATTCTGTATCAAATGCAAAAAAATCATTGCATCAATATTATGATTATTGTTATGATTATTATTACTCTCGTCATGGCTGTTTGTGGGACCCTGCAAATTGGCTGCCAGGTCCACCAACAAAAACAGAGTCACTCCACTCTACAGTGTATCTCGTGAAGCGCATTGAGATGTCATCCCAATGTGAAAGGAGTTATACCAAATGTAAGGATTTTTACAAATTATTATTCTTCAGGCTGAATGTCGCGCCTCGAACAGGAAATCAACAGTATGTGATTTGAGTCTTAAAAAAAAGGAAAATCTACAATAATAGCAGTCAGTGTTATTTACAAGATAAAGGAAGTGGGAGACAGGTCCCATTGGCTGGTCTGCAATAACCGGGTGCGACAATAACAACAAATTACACTTGTATAACATTCTTCACGTTAGCAATGCGATCCCAGCGCACTGGACAGTCAAGAGTTTTTTGGACCCGAACTGGGAGTTGGGGTCAGGAGGGGTGGAGGGCAGACGGAGTGGGGGTGGAAGTGGGAGGGTGGCTGAAGGCACGGTTGAACAGGAAGATCTTCAGACAGGACGTGAAGGAGGCAAGAGAGTGGGTGAACCATGCATGGAGGGGGTGTTATACTTTCTAACCGTGGTTGTGATAGAAAGGTTCTATCGGTGGAGGGAAGGGGAAGGGGGAGAAATATTTCATCAGCACAAATCATACTTCATAAAAGATTTAAATAGCCGTATTAATAAGATATTAGGGCTGAGAGCACCAAGGAGGAGCAGAGTGCTCAGTTCACTGGGGTTGGACCTCAGCCAAACCCATCAAACACAGAGCAGGCCAGCCATGCCAGGCTGCTCCCTCCCCTTCAGCTCAGCTCCAGTGGGGAATCACCGATCCAGCGCGAGCAGAATGTCTTCACTCAAAATGAAAAAAAAACAGGTCAAAATGCTCCAGAGCTTGAAATTACCCCACAGGAAAGGGGGTGGAGGGGGAACCACAGGGCGGAGATTTCTGTTTTTCTTCCAGGCTCCATGTTCAGCCCGAGTACCAATAATAATAATCTTTGCAATTGATATAGCGCCCTGTCACGTCATTGAGACGTCTCAAAGTGCTTCACAGGGTATACTGTGAAGTGGAATTATTGTGTATTTTGTGGGCAAAACTTGCCAGCCAATCGTACAAAGCAGTGTCCCACAAACAGCCATGGAGTGAGTGACCAATTTTATCTGGGGGGCCAGGAGACAGAGAGAAACTCCGTTCTCCTTTTGAAGAGTGCCATGGGATCTTTAACATCCACCTGAACAGGCAAACGGGAACTCGGTTTAACTTCTCATCTGAAGGACAATACCACCGCTCCCTGCATATTTCCTGCAAATGTTGACACTTTCACAGGTTTTTAACTTGGTCTCTGGGTATGTACCGAACCACGTCATTTAATGATTGTGGAATCGGTGAGGTGGAGTGTGTAGGGAAGGGGGTGGGGGGGGAATATTAAAAAAATACTTTTTATGTAAAGTTCCATATGTTGACAGCATTTCCTTTTTGATTCCTACGATTGATAGGACTGTTTCCTCAAGGACAGGCACGTAGTGGAATTGTAACGTCTGCCCATAACAGGGTTCTTGAGAATTTCAATTAGCTCCTTCAAGTTTTCCTGCAAGCTAAGAGACCAGAAAATGAGCATCA